CCTTCCTCTTCCTAATTCCTGTCTACTCCTGAGGAATCATCTCTCCCCGTCCCTGTAAATCTCCCTGAGTGCAGGAACAGGGCTGAGGCTCTGCTGTCACTCACCCTTGCCCACACCCCCAGAACAGGATGCTCTCGTGGGATGACTCATGTCAGCTGTCAAGGGTGGGTCCAAGTTCACAGCCCTGCTGACTTGGTACAATGCCCCAAACATCACTCTGGGAGTGGGGCACCCTGCCCCTGGAGCTCTCCATCCCTCTCGCACACTCCAGACACACCTTCCAACCTTGCCAGCAGGTGCTATCTCCACCGTGAGAGGGGGTTCACGGTGCCTGCCATTCCACACTGCCGGGCTCCTCTCACCCCAACTCAGCCTTACACCCTCCTGTCTGTCAGGCCGCTGCAGGGTGCAAATAACACAACACCCATGCAAAAACAGCTTAAAAACAACATGGGGGGGCTGGCCAGGTGGCGCAAGCGGTTAAGTGCACGCGCTCCGCTGCGGCGGCCTGGGCTTTACCAGTTTGGATCCCAGGCGCGCACCGATGCACGGCTTGTCAAGCCATGCTGTGGCGGCGTCCCATATAAAGTAGAGGAAGATGGGCATGGATGTTAGCCCAGCGCAAATCTTCCTCAGGAAAACAGAGGAGGATTGGCATCAGATGTTATCTCAGGGCTGATCTTCCTCACAAAAAAAAAAAAAAATGGGTTTATCACTTCACTTAACAAGGCGTCTTGAAGTTGGCTCTGGGTCAGTTTGGCAACTCAGTGGTGTCATCAAAGACCCAGACTCTTTCCGTCTTCCTGCTCCACCAGCCTCAGCATCTTGGCTTTCACCTTCACTCCTCCCCTGGTGGTTACAAAATGGCTGCTAAAACTTCTGGTATGACTGCTTTCTACAGCCTGTCCAAAGACAGGAAGGATGCTCACTCTGCAAGGATCTCCTTCTATTAGCAACAAAACCTTTCCCAAAACCCCCAGCAGACGCCCCCTCAAACCTCATTAGTGGGAACTGGATCACATGCCCAGGGCCCACTGTCCACCCTAACACCCAGGGGATGGGATCAGACAACCGGCAGGGCCCATTGTCCCTGAACACATTGATGCCTGACACTCAAAGAACTGGGGTTCTGTTACCTAGGGGAGACGGCTGTTGGATAGGAGCGAGCCATGTCTGCACACCTCCCTTGGCTGGCACACTGGCATACCCCACTCCGGGACAGGTGGCCTGGGTCAGAGGCCTGCAGCCTTTGCTGCCCTGGCCAGGTGAGGAATGCTCCACTGTGGTCCAGAGGACTCCAACACCTTAAAGGGCTGGTCACACTATGACCCCAATAGGCAACAAGACACACCACACAACCAAGGGATGTGCTTCTTGTTTGTCTGTCTGTGGACACTTAAGGAGGCTCCTGTAGTGGGCTCTGCAATGACTTAGGGGTCTTTCCCCGAATGCACTCAGCCAGGGCTAATCTAGGAAATCATGTTACAGCACAAGCTTAGAAGACTCCTGGAGTTGAGAAAATCTCCGTCTTCACAGCAGGTCTTTTATACCTCTGGCCACCAGGGAAAGTACTCTGGCAGAGGGGCAGTATCCAGCTGTGTGGTTTAAATGTCAGGAATCTTGCATTTTTTCTGTTCTGTTTGGCTATAACTCGTCATGGTGTACACTGTCCCCCAGCAAGGTGAACAGAGTATCTGGAACAGAGTCTCATTTCTTAAATCTTTTCAACTTCGTTTCAAGTGCACTTGGTGGAGCTAAGAATTTCAAGGAGTCTGAATGCCAGAATTGGCCGAGGGTCTGATGAGGCCCACCTGGCACACCTGGGGAAGGCAAGGGTTGCAATCCAGGGGCCATGCTCGTGGAGAAAGATGCATTCAGATGGGAATGTGCTCAAGTCAGTGACCTGAGTGTCGATGGAACCTCCCGATCTGTTCACAAAGGCTCCTGTTAGGCTACATGACTCCTAAGCTGAATTTCTATTCTTGTTTTTTTTTTAACTTTAAATTTTATCAAGTTAGTACTTATACCTTATTTCAATCTGTACAGACATGTTTCAATCATACTTTTGACATTAAACATAGTAGCTCTCATCCCTTGCCTCATGCCATGTACAAATTCGATCAATGTTCTTAACCTAGTAACTCAGAAAAATTCAAACCAGCCAGAGAGGCCATAATAACCTCTATAGGAAAATTCTTATTATACAGTTTACTTAAAAGCTCAATTTTAAAAATCAATTAAAGATCTTGCAGACTCCATGAATCACAACCCTTCTATGAAATGCTCATTTCACTCTGAGGGTGCAGGACCAAACATCATCTAATTCTCGGGAAGCTAAAGGGGAAACCCCAAAAATACTAAGTTATATATGATTCTGCAGATAGCCTGATACCTCTACAAATCCACCAGGAAAATGTCTAGAAGATTACTGAATTACCCCCAAGTTCCCACAAAACCCTGCCTCTTGCCTCTGCCCACCACCCCTTTCTGCAAGGAGCTACGATGGGTCCCTCTCCAAGGGTGCACACCCACAATACAGGGCTGGCTAGAGTGGAAGGTGACAGCGAGGGGAAGGCACCAGAACTACACACCATGGGAGAGAGTCCGTTCTTCAGCAGGAAATCGGGGGCTATTGGGAAAGGGAAAGATGGTGGCAGCCAAAAACCTGACAAACGCCCACAACACCTCATTCCTCACCCCAAACATACACGGGCTCTCTCTATACTACCACACTGCTTGCTTCTTTCAGAGAACTTCACACACACTAACATTCACCCACTTATTTGTTCATCTCTCTCTTCTAGAACAAAAGTTCCACAAGATTAGGGGCCTTGCATGTCTATCCACCACCGAATCGGAAACACTCAATGTGTAGACAGTAGACACTCAATAAGAATTTGCTGAATGAATGAGTCCCCAGTTCCTTCTCATTTAAATGAAAATTATCAAATTGATCATATTTTTATCAGTTTAGTTAAAGATGCAAACCATCTCCCTTTACCAAATCTCCACGAAGACAGTTTGGTATTTAAGTCAGAGGGGTATGACTGGGAGTTCAATTCTTTCCTGTGATACACAGGGATTAATCAAGCCACCATTCAATATTAATTTTTCAGATATATGAAGCTTGTTTACTCACATTCAAAGGTTTTCCTTGTCTTTATCTAAATCAGTCAAGTCTCTTCTCATAAATGAGAAATATTAAATAAATGGCTGCTTTCATAAAGTAAAGAAGTGACTAGCAGAAATAATCTACAACTTCTGTGAATAGCTTTTCTTTAGTGTCTAAAATCAGAAATACCACTTACAGACCAAAGACTATGGCCGTGAGTTTTACAAATCAGTCCCCAGTCCCCTGTCCAGTGTACTATTATCCCAATGACAGGGATTCAGGAAACCAAGGCTCCGAGACGGGAAGCCACTTGTCCAAGGCCTCCTGCTGAGGATCCGGCAGAGACCTGAACCCAGGTCTGGCTGACTCCAAAGCCTGTGCTTGTTTATTCTATTAAATCACTACCAACTACTCCACTACTTCATGTATCTTCTCTGAATATCACATTTCATCAAATCTGAGATCCTACGGCTAGAATTAACAAGACAAGAAACAACAAGCGTTGGAGAGAAGGGAACGCTCATACACTGCTGGTAGGAATGCAACTGGTCTAGCCACTATGGAAAACAGTATGCAGATTCCTCAAAAAACTCAGAACTACCATATGATCCAGCTATTCCACTGCTGGGTACTTATACAAAGAACATGAAAACACAAATGCGTAAAGATACATGCACCCCTATGTTCACTGTAGCATTATTCACAATAGACAAGATTTGGAAGCAACCTAAGTGCCCATCAAGGGACGAATGGATAAAGAAGATGTGGTATATACACACAATGGAATACTACTCAGCCATAAGAAACGATGAAATCCGGCCATTTGTGACAACACGGATGGACACTGCGGGTATTATGCTAAGCGACATAAGTCAGAGGGAGAAAGTCAAACACGGTATGATCTCACTCATAAGTAGAAGATAAAAACAACAACGAACAAACACATAGAGATAGAGATTGGACTGTTTGTTACCAGAGGAGAAGTGGGGAGGGAGAGGAGCGAAAGCCATGATTAGGCACATGGGTGTGGTGACGGATGGTAATTAGTCTTTGGGTGGTGAGCACGATGTAATCTACACAGAAATTGAAATATAACGATGTACATCTGAAATTTATATAATGTTATAAACCAATGTTACTGCAATAAAAAATAAATAAATAAATTGAATTAAACAATAAAAAAAAGAAAATAAAAAAAATCTGAGATTCTATCAACGGCGGTTGCTGTACAGCTACATCATGACGGACAATGCTCCCGACTCCAGTTATAAAACACCATCCACTGGAAGGTGTACCACAATTTCAGAAATGCTGAAATGTGTATGTACACACACACACTTACACACATACCGTATACATCTTAGATTCAATAAGATACAGCAATCCAGGGGCCTTGGAACAAATTACTCCTAATATATGTTGTAAAATATGAATGCCTCTCTAAATCCTTTAAAAAATTAATTTTGCCATGAAGTACAGAAGAGAAAGAGATAAATCTTAAGTATGAATAAAGTTATAGGAAACTGCAGACATAATACATACCCTCTTTAAAAAGTGTTTCTTCTCATCTGTGGCATTCAATCATACTCTTTATAATGTGAAGAGCAGTTGACATCTTTCCCACCCATCAATTCCCATCAATATGACCGTGACTTATTCATATTTTCATACATCCAAGTACATGGAAAGGTAGGAAGCACATTTTTCACAATATACCATGAAAGGGGACTTTAAATCTACCTACTATTCTTAACTTTTGTTGTTTTCTCCAAAAGTTACCGAAAGTAATAATAATTTCTCATTCCATATCAAAGAAAAATATACTCTCTGGTGAAGATACGGCTATAAGTCTCTATAAAATCAAAGACCACCAATGTTTCAGCAAACACTCTCAATAAAGTTCATATATAAAAAATAATAATAATAACAATGAAGTTTATATTTGAATGACCGACTGGAAATGCATCGATCTTCAGGGCCTCTTTTCCCTCCCTCTGAGAGTGCTCATGTCGTAGGCCCACACGGTGTCTATCCCCTCTCCGGTGACCTGGTCCGGAGTCCAGTGCGGGAAAGGGAACCGGCAAGCAATGACTCTAGCGTCATCCTCCAGTTCAAGCTCAAGTTTCTTCTCCAGCTGTGGCATCTGTGGAAGACGACAGTCATTATTTCAGTGAGCCACGGTGAGTCAGAGGAAAGGATTTCCTAATGTCCTTTTGTATTTCAGTTCCTGAAAACACCTCTGCAAAAATTAGTAAATGTAAAAAAGATGACTTCGGGGCATAAATACCTTATCAAACAATCTATTAAAATACAGAAGTCACATTATCAACAGTTTTAAGAACAACTTTTAGTCTCAATTAGCAGATGTGTATCACAGATTTCTGATTTTCTGACTAAAATCATGATGCGGCAGTAATTAAAATGAGAAGAGAAGCAGCTTTAAATTATTTACCTACCTAAACATATCAGTCTACCCTGTCTCAACTATTTAACACATATTTTTCCACATTTTTAACATCTCTGGAATCAGGATACCTCTTACAAGTGACACTGTCCTAGAATAACTGGCAATATTTTTTTCCTTCTCAATAGCAATGGTGCATCTTAAAATCAATAGCATCTAGAGTCAATGAAATACAGTATAATTAGACCATGAAAAAATATACTTATTCTACCAACTTGAAACACAATGAAATGTTTCCTAATTCTTAAAAAGTTTATCTATAATATACTGATAATTTCTTGATATTCAACATAACTTATAAAAAGTAAAATCCTTTTATTTATCACTTTTGGATCCTTTTATTACTAATCTACCTGTGAAGAAAGAGTTTTATTGTTTGCTACAAGTATTGACATTGTAATTACATCAGCAAATTAACAACAGCTTAAAAATTTACCTTCGGGTCCTCAAAATATATTACCACCTTCACGTCCTAAAAATATTTTTTCTACTTTTAATTTGCTACTTGGAAATAATTTCAAATTTACAGAAAGGTTGCAAGAAGAGAACAAAGAACCCCTGTATTCCTTTACCCCACTTCACCAATTTTTAACAGTTGTCATTATTTGTTTTATCGGATTTGCCCTCTTCCCTTCTCTATGAACATTTTTTCTAAACCATTTGAGCACAGGTTGCATACAACATGCCCCTTTATTCCTTGATAATTCCATGTTTTCTAAGAAATAGTCCCAGCTCAGTTATCAAAGTTCGTAAAATTTAACATTGTATTCCAATAATAATTCCAATAGCATTCCAATTTTGTCAAATGTCCCAATAATGACCTTTTTATAACACTTTCCCCCAGTCCAGGATCCCATATTGCATTTAGCTGTAATGTTTCCTTGGTCTCCTTTAACCTGGAACAGCTCCTCGATCTTCCTTTGCTTCTCAAGACAGTGACATTCTTTAAGAACACAGGCCAGTTACTTCACCAGCGGCCCTCACCTCGGGGTCCTCGGATGTTCGCTCGCAATGACTCAGCTGTGTGCATTTTTCACAGTGCCCCCCAAGTGGGGCTATGAACTTCTCGGGGCTCCACAGTTAGACGCCCGTGGGGTCCTCCCGCTTTAAAGTCACGTTCACCACTGGGTTAAGGTGGTACCTGTTCTCTCCATAGTGTGGTTACTATTTTTCCTTTGCAGTGAACAAGTAATTTGTGGGGAGATACCTTGAGATGATGTAAATATCCTATCACTCATCAAACTGTCCCCCTACTAGATGGAGCATTCTTGATGACTCTGGCCTGAGTGAATTTTTACTATAATGGTTGCAAAGTGGTAATTTGCTAATTCCACCATTCCTCTTAGATTGAGAGCCAGCTTTCCACTGCCAGGAAGAGCTCCCCCTTCTCTCTCTCTCTCTCTCTCTCTCCATCACATAACTGTGAACTCCTGGATTCTTATTCCAGTCAGTGGGTGACAATCCACTACATCCTCCTTTATTCTAATGAGTTCACCCACTGGGAGCCTCCTCAGACTGGCTGCTCTCTCCTTTGGATGTGCCCCCATCAAATGTTTCAAGCTTTTCCCTATACTCGGGCTCAACAAAATGCTCCAGGCTTTTGTATCTTCCCTTCCTCAGCCCTGGGATCAGCTATTTCTCAAACATTCCTGGTTTCTCTGAGTGGAAAACGATACTTAGAAACCAGGATCTGAGCAAAAACTACTTCCTTTAAAGGTAACCAATTAAATCAAGACGAACAAATCAATAGTGTTTCTAGGAAGATTCTTTCCTGACCCGTATCTTGAAAAAGCGTCTTGGAAAAACTCCTCTACATGACCGACGGCTTGAGTGAGCCAAAATTCTGATTCTTCATTAGAATCAATACCAAGACAACAAAGAATAAATTCCATTAAGGATGAAATATTTCTTTTCTTTTAACAGCCAGTAAAAGATTATTTAAAAAAAAAAAAAAAAAAAGTTTTGTTCCTTGAGGGAAAAAGCAAATAAGCAAAGAATGAGACAATGGGTGTTTTTCCAAAATATCAGAGGTTTCTTATGGTAATTTTGTTCATAAAAAGGATAATTGTAAACTTATTCATATTATCATTATTCTTTTCACCTTTACGGTTTCTTTTATTTCCAAATGACTGTCATATGCTAAGTCAAGATAAACTTACAAAAGAAAGGAGCTATTTCAATCATAAGAAATTAACTGACTAAATTACACATAAATATTCAATGAACCTGGGTCTTGATATCATACACAAAGAGAAGCAGTGATGTGTCACGTCCATCTAATGGAATTCAAAATTATTCATACAATTATGGGTTTCAAAGTGACACAAACTCATCATATTCTAATTATATCTTCAAAACTTTAAACATAAGTTGAAACCAGCTCAAAAACCTATGACAAATGAGCCACGCCCATCAGCGGCTTTGAGGCCTGGATCACTCCCTCCTCCCTGAAACACTGGCTTCACTTGGCTCCTAGGGTAAGCCACCCCCCAATGCCTCCTCTCCAGCCCTTTGCTGGGTGCCCCTCATCAGTTAGGGGCCAGGGCTCAGGCCTTGCACAGCTCTACCCACTTCCTGGGTGATCTCTGCCACTCGTCAGCTTCAACTCCTGCTGCACCAGCGCCCAACAAACTTCAGCTCCAGCCTGCCCTCCCTCCTGATCCCCAGACTCCCTCCATCCATGACTGCCAATTTGACAGCTCCACACACATCTCAGACTTCACATGCCACATGGAATTCCTGAGCTCCCCCAGCTCAGTAACGGCAACTCTCAACTTCCCGTTGCTGAGGCCAAAAACCTTGGGGGCCCTTGGCCCTCCTCTTTCTCTCATGCCCATGTTGGATCTGCGGCTAATCCTATTGGTTCTATCTTCACGATGCATCCAAAATTGGACCACTTCCCACCAGCTTCTCCACCCCGTTGCAAACTTGTCACACCTGTGAGCTAGATGCCTGCAAGTGCTCATAATCTGCCTCCGGGCTTCTACTCCTGTCTACCCTTGTCAACCCAGCTGGTTCCTCGACTCCTCTGTTCAAACCCGCAATGGCTCCGGCCTTACAAAGGCAGAGTGTCCTTCCCATCCCAGTCCCTATTTATCCTCTGACCTCACCTCTACCCTGCTCCCCTCACTCCCCCCACACCTGCCACCCCCACCTCCTTGCTGCTCCTGGAACCCAACAGGCACACACTCCTCAGCACCTTTGCAATGGCTGTTCCTCAGCCCGGAATGTTCTTGTTCTTCCCAACAGTGCCGCACAGCTCCCTCCCTCGCTGCCACACGTGTTCTTCTCAGGGACACTGTCTCTGCCCCATCCCTCTCTTGCTTTAATTTGCCCCATGGCACTTATCCCCTGGTATCGTATGATATATTTAATATAAGTATCTCATGTAACATCTGCTCTCCCCACTGGTGTGTAAGTACCTTAGGACTGGGACATTTTTCTTTTTTATCCACTGAAGTACCCCAAGTGATCAGAACAGGGTCTGGCACTTAGTGGGCCCTCAATAAATACTAGTCAAATGAATGAATGAAGGATAAATGATTCAGTCATGAATCATTTTTTTGTGTGTCTGTGTGAGGAAGATCAGCCCTGAGCTAACATCCATGCCAATCCTCCTCTTTTTGCTGAGGAAGACTGGCCCTCAGCTAACATCCGTGCCCATCTTCCTCCACTTTATATGGGACGCCGCCACAGCATGGCCTGACAAGCGGTGCATCAGTGCGCGCCCGGGATCCAAACCCTGGGTCGCCAGCAGCAGAGCATGCACACTTAACCGGTACACCACAAGGCGGCCCCATAAATCATTTTTCTTTAGCAGAACATAATGACAATAATTTTGTTCATTAATTCATAATAGAATTCGTAACTAAAATTAAATTAGTCATTCTTTGAAGTTACGAAATTCAATAGCTGCTGGGAAAAGTGTACTTAATGGGTATGTTTATACCATATCCGAATATTCATTGAACAAATATTCCCTGAGTGACTGCTCTGCGCTGGGTGCTGCCGTGCTGGTCTGGCAGCGAAGACGACAGGCCAGCCTTCATTCTTGAGTTTACAGGGCAGTGCACACGGCCAGCACTGCCAAAGCCATCACCCAGAAAAATGTGCGATAGCTCATCTAGGGAGAGGGGAGCAGAAAAGAGAGGGGCTGGAGCTTGTCTCACTGGGCGGTCAGGGACGGCTTCTCGGAGGAAAGGACACCTGACCCGAGCAGTCAGCAGGTGCTCACTTACCAGGCCCAGAGCTGGGGGGACTGACGTCGGACAGAAGGACGCAGCCCACACACAGTGACGTCCAGGGAAGGACAGAGGGCTGGCACAGAGAGCTGGGGGAAGCAGGGCCACTCCACTCCAGGCCTCTGGCCATGCGGAGCGTTTGGGCCTTATCCTCGCTGCTTTTAAGCAGGAAGAAGCCACAGAAGGGTTTTAAACAAGGACACAATTGATCTGTTCCACATTTGGAAAAGATGTTCCTAGTGCACAAGCTGGTGTTAAATGTGGTATTTGCAATCCTTGTACTGGATTCACCAGGTCCACACGGGATTCCTCATTCCCCTCATGTTAGAGCCGAACAGCGCTGAAACTCTAGGACACCTCTAATTTCCAGCTACAACTGCAAAGGGCTGTTAGGAACAACCAGTCGGGTATCAGAAGCAGGGTGAGAGTTCTAACACTTCTGAAGTTCCCTGAGGGTCCCCCGGGCTCTCTCCTGACCACGTGTGCTTCAGCTGCCACAGGAAACGTTTCCTGCCACAACGGCTCTGCTGAGCCACCTCAGGGAAGGGAAATGCATTTTAAGAGAAGACCGCATGACCTGGCCAACAGGTAAAAGGATGTCCAGGGCTCACAGGACTCCCCATGGGCAGACTTGACCTTCTGGCTTGAAGGCCACACTCTCCCTCCCATCACTGCCTCCACATAGGCGAAGACTGACGTGGGTGGAAAGTGGGGCGTCCACAGGTGAAACTGGCCCTTCCATACCAACAGAAGCCGCCTGGGCCCTCTGCACCCTCATCAATCCACCTGCATGGAGAACTGCAAGTTGGCTGAATCCCTCTTATTTCAGGGAATGTGGATGCTGAGTGTATTCCAGCTGCTCCCCTTTTTCTCGGGAACAGAGAAATGCTACGAGTTTCTTATTTGAGATTTCTCTTTTAAAAGAAGATTTCTCTGTATACAGAAGAATGGACAATAATTGCGAAAACATTCATCAAAATAATAGGACTCTTATTTCTCGAATGAACAGCTCCAAAAACTGACTGTACTTCAAACATGATGAAGAAGCACAGGAGTTGCATCCCACCGGTTACCTGGCGACAGTGATGACCACAGGCCACTGCTGCCCCCTAACGGGACAGAGCTGCAGCAGCTGCATGAGCCCATGTCTCAGGCCATCACCATGGGGCCTCCCAAGACAGCCTGGAAGTCCCAAAAAATATCATCTTTCTATTTTTATTAAGCATGGATTTCAAATTAAAGCTATTTGCCCCAAAATGCTATTACAAGGAATACCCAAACATCATAATAAGTAGTAAATACCATCAAATTCCATAGCAATTCTATGATCCCAAATAGTTTTTTTAAATGACCAGGGATCATGCCTTTCTCCCTCTTTTCATTTCTATAACAAAAGCATAGACACCCAGGTTTCATCTTAATTTTAGGTTTACTGAGAACTATGAACATATAGAATCTTGTCACTTTCAAGAATATCTAATAAAAGTATTTCTAGGGGCTGGCCCAGTGGCATTAGTGGTTAAGTTCACATACCCCACTTCGGTGGCCTGGGGTTCATGGGTTCAGATCCCCGGTGCAGACGTACATATCGCTCACCAAGCCGTGCTGTGGTGGCGACCCACATACAAAATAAATGAAGATTGGCACAGATGTTAGCTCAGCAACAATCTTCCTCAAGCAAAAAGAGAAGGATTGGCACAGATGTTAGCTCGGGGCCAGTCTTCTTCAATAACAACAAAAAAAGCATTTCTAAATCAACTTAAAAAAAAAATGAAAGAAAATGGTATTGCACTGAAGGTCATAATAGTAAGAATAAATTTCTCAAGCAGTGAAACATCTCATACAAAAATAAAGGTATGAATAAGAAAACAAAACAACAAAAAGTAAGTTTGCTGTTTTTTTTTAATTAAAACCCATCTCAGTTATATATAGTGGCATTTCAGCAAACATCCAATTTTGCCAAGATTATTATAGCTACAATTACAGACTTTAAAAAGTGAAAAGGGATTTCTTTTTATGGTCTGTAAACCAACAATTACAATAAAAGCATCCCATTCTGGTCATCTTTCCAAAGGCTAAATGCAAGACCATTATCAGTACGACGCTGCAGTATTTCACTTTTGAAAGTACAGAACCAAAGTTCCATACAAATCAGTCAACCGAGGTCAACTGAAACTAGTCAATGCTCATCTGCCTGAAAATTATCTTACTGCAAAATCGGAAAAATGATCAATTCAAAGGGAACATCCCATTAACTTTCCCAAGTGATTTCAGCTGGATGTGCGTGGGCAACCATGAAAATCCCCAATCACATTAGACACTGGGAGCTCATAAGGCAGTTTTCAGACTACAATTTTTAGGGCTTGGGTAGATAATTGAGGTTTTTATCTGAAGCAAAAGTTTAAAAATATGACTGAGTCTTTTATGATTAAACTCTTAAGGCCCTGAAGTATTTTGTTAAACCAATGAACTGAAATCCAATGTTCCCTCAGAATCTCTGGGAGGCTGTCATTTTGCACGTGGGTGAGCAGGCCAACAGCGAGCGGCCTGCTAGAGCTGAAGGGCCTCCCACTTAACCCCAGACCAAACAGGGGAGGTATACTCACCATCTGAGGCACGCCGAAAATAACAACGTTGGAGTACTGCGAAAAAGTCACCTAGAGGAGGTGGAAACAATTCACAGATGGATCGTAAAGAGTCAATCATCAAGCTTAACTTTTGTTTCAAAATGAGTAGCAATTTTCCATTTTGCCAAATAGTCGGTTTTCACAAAGAGGGGCCCTCTTTAAGATTTCACAAGGAATGGAATACCGCGTTCATGCTTTCGTTCGTGTTAGTTCAATCCATTCATTTTCCAAATGCTTCCCCATGTCATGTCATCCCATCCTCATGGTGACTCCACGCAGGGTCTGCCCCAGGGGTCATCTGTCAGAAGGGCCAGTAACTCACCCAATGACCAGCTGGTGGTAAGGCCATCCGTGCCACTGGTCCACACACTTTCTACTTGACTCCATATACACCAAACTACCTTAGCAAGAACTCGAGGGATTTCAGAACCACCTGTTTGTTTTCTTTTATGTTGAACCATCCTTAAAATTCTAGTGCTACTCCTCTTCTCTAAAATACTAAGTAAAAAGTGCAATGGTCTTTAGTTGAAAAACTGGGGGGAAAAGTGCTTTGCCAGTCAAAATTCTTATTGCCCAATAAAAGTCTTAATTTACTCTACAGAGAGAGCGTTTATGTATATGTGGAATCAAAAACAATGCAAGCAAAACTCAAGTGAATTTTCATAAGCTACTGATGACAGCATTACAATGGGGAATTCTTATTTAAGAAAAAGCATATTATGGAGCATTCCTAAAGCAAAATTACAAGGCATTTTTTAGAGTACAAATAAACTTGGAAGGGGCTGGCTCCGTGGCTTAGCGGTTAAATGCGTGTGCTCCGCTACTGGCGGCCCAGGTTCAGATCCCAGGCGCGCACCGACGCACCGCTTCTCTGGCCATGCTGAGGCCGCATCCCACATACAGCAACTAGAAGGATGTGCAACTATGACATACAACTATCTACTGGGGCTTTGGGAAAAAAAAGGAGGAGGATTGACAATAGATGTTAGCTCAGAGCCGGTCTTCCTTGGCAAAAAGAGGAGGATTAGCATGGATGTTAGCTCAGGGCTGATCTTCCTCACAAAAATAAATAAATAAATAAATAAACTTGGAAGGATCTTGTACCTTGTGAAGACCAAAGGGAACCCTGACAGCATGGTTGGTGCAGTCTATTCTCTTGCACACATCTCTGCCTCTCTCTAAACACACACATATGTGTGCACGCATGCACACATGCACAGGGAAAAGTCTACTGTTCACCAAGAATGACATTAACAGGTTAATGCCTATATTACAATTTATAAGATTTCAAATGAGATGACTTCATAATAAAATAATCATTTCAAAATAAATATCATATCATAATAAAATTATTTTCTATTTCATCACTTCATAAAAAATAAAAATGAGAACTTTTTTAATTGAGTAAATAAATTCTTGGAATTCACATGACCTACCATGTCGTAAACCTTAAGTTTCTACTCTCACGTAGGGAGACAATCTGTTAAATTCATCAGTTTAAAAGGTGTTCACATTTCATTACGTTCAAATATACGCTTCTATTTTAAGTACTTTTCTTTTATTACATTTTTAAGTTTTCAGTCATACTACTTATGAATCATAAAGTTTTCGGTTGGAGTTTTCTAGGACCACTCGCTGCCTTACATACCTTCCACAAATCTGAAATATAAAACTTGGCAGAGTCCTGCACCCCTTCTCGCCAAGCGCAGTATCTGGAGTACCAGACTAGCCACGGGTTTAACTCATAACCCACAGCCGGGAATCCTTCCTTTGCAGCTGCTATCACCTGTGGAAAGAGGCCGTATTTACTCAAAATAAGAAGAAAAACATCAACTTAGATTGTCAAATGATATGAATACTTCCTATTTATGGGCCATAATCCTAAAATATCCAATCAAAAAACACCTCCTTTGTTCAAGACACCATTTAAAGATGGATCTCTAAAGTTGTATAGCTTTATGGACAAGATAACACCAGCCCATTTAAACTCAGTATTCTCATTTTTGTCAAAGATTTCACCCCAAGTATCAGAACAGACAGTCAGGTTTGCTTTGGACATCCACGTAATTAATCCTGGATTGGCCAAGCCCTGGGTAGGGCTGACAAAAACTTGATGAAAATGCACCATCTCACTCCATCAGTGATAGCACAGCAGTGGGGGAAATGAACATGCCTGGGAGGATGTTCTGTGAACTAGTTGTAATGTACAACAAAAATAACCTGTCAGTGAAGACCCCGCAATTAATTACATATTTCCTTAATATTTAAAGTGTTCACTCAAAATTGAAAACAAGTAAAAGCAAAATGGAACGAGTCCGTATAAGTCAACTGTAGAACGCCACTGGCCTCTGTCAGGTGAGAGGGACACGGGCTGGTCCTGGGGTCTCTCTGCTCCTTCCATCTTGCCACCACTCTCCAAGGGAGCGTCTCTGAAGGAGCTGTCCCACCCACAGTAATTTCCCAAGTAACTACAGTGTCGCCCCTTTAGGAAGGAAACCATTTTCTGAGAAACCATAAAGCATTCAAATCTGGATTTAGAAACTTCCTGCTGATTAATATATAAATCTCTTGATTTCTCAAAAACAAAGCAAGTCACTGTTTAACCTCCTCCTGATGATTCTGGTCACCATTGTGAAACTGCAGGGGCTGCAGGGGCTGGTAAAGGTGTCGTGGCCCTGCCGGCCTCCACACTAAAAGTTTCCAGAACACTGGCCTTTACTACTGCTATCCTCACTTTTCGCCTCATCATGGGGATGGAGGCCTAAGCATGGTGCCACCTTGCCCAGGGAGAAACGTGCTCTGGGACACTCGTTCGCCAGTCAGGGGCCCTGAGTCTTTACTCACAGGCTCCTAGCTGGGGTCAAAGCGAGCTGAGGTCACTAAAAGTCTGACCTTCGGATAAGTGGAGGTTAATGCACTGGCTCTTCCCTATTTTAACTCTACATTACCCCACAGGAATTATTATACATGTATAAATATGGACAGATGTAGAAGCAAATATTTATGGTGCAAAAATATAAAATAGTTAAACTCCACGATTTAACATGTTTCTTCTGGGTATGCCACCCCCTTTGGCCCAAGTTTTTTTAATGGACAACTTCATAACTATCAATTAATTGTTCCTTTTTATCTGGCATATCTACAGAGCACTTTCTCCTTTAGGAAAAAATTAAATCTGAAAAAAATAAATTACAAATTCATGCTGGAGGGTTTGACAGTTCAGTCAGACAAACACAAAATTAAACAACTACTTTATTAAACTGTCAGATTTAGCAAGTCTTTGCATAAGCCTCATTAGAAGTGTGAAACTGAAACTTTAACAATTCTAGTTCCAAACCTTAAAAACATCTTAACATAACTCACGATACGTCCATCGCCACTGCCAATGTCAACCAGGGATCCTCTTCTGCATCGCAACATTTTCACAACATTTTCAATCTGCTTTGTAGTTGCAGGAACAAAAGGTAAACAAATTCTTCGGAGGGCTGGTGTTATAAATGGTGTGGCCACAGCATATACGGCCACCAGGGTCCCACCAACAATCCCGGTAAACAAGAATCCCCAATTGCTTTTCTTCAAACTATTGGCTTCAAGACTTGGAGGCAGAACACATTCCAACTGACTTGCTTCTGTAAGTGTTTCTGGGGGTGAACCTGGATCGAGAACAAGCAGAGAAGACGTGTGTGGCACCAAATCTGAAACCCAAGGTAGTATTTTTTTCTACAATCCCTATTGACAAACTCACGCTTTTTAAAGAAGTATAATTCAGCTGAATACCATCTAAATTACAAATACAGGATTCCATAATGAGCTCCAAATTCCATCAACTAAATGAAAGTGTTTTGGAGAAAATCATTCAATACTAATGGAAGACTAAAATCTTTTCTTTCCAACATACTGATTTTTTTTGTCTCTAAGAGTCATCCTTAGAAAACAATGCATTCAAACCTATTTGGTATCTTATGAATTCAATACCCATTAATACAAATGCTAGCCACGAACTCCATATTTTTATGGCTCAGAACAAAGCCTCATAAACAAATAAGTAAGAAAACTTATTCTAATTATTACCCTATTTCAAATAGGATGAAAGTATCCCATACCAAAATTGGTCAGGCATCTATAATCCAGTTGCACAAACACAATTTTGAAGTAATAGAGGAAACCAAATTCAGATTTTACTAAAAATCTTAAATGATCATAGTACTAAGTAAATTTTTAAAGCAGATCCAAAAACAAAGATAAAATAAAATAATCATTCCAGTGCTATCAAGAGTATGGAATAAGGCACACTCCGTTGATTACAGAGAAATGAACGGTACATTAAATATCTTCCCCTTAAGTTTTATCCTTTACAAGATAGTCTTAGTAGGGTCTCAGGTTTTTTAGGTTGAAAGTGATTTGAAATTAATTTTGAAATGGATTAATGACTAGTACAGCACAGCGGGCAAGAACAGGACCCCTCAGGAGCCTGCCAACGTCAGGACCCCCACTCTTCGCCTTGTGAACGGTGTGCCCCTTCACCTCTCTGAACCTTGGTCTCCTTGTCTGTAAAGTGGGGATCACGGGTTGCTGTGAGAATGAAACCAGTGGATACAGGTAAAGCACTGAGAACAACGACCGGTAATTGAACCCCACAGGGAACAGAACCGTCCTGCCCTGAAGCAGCTCACGGTCTGTCTAGCTGAGAAGCTAAGACCAAAAACACAGGAATCTGAGGAAAAAGGAGAGAGTACGAGGAGGGAGGACAACAGACTCTTGTTGCTCGAAAACATTATGTTCATAATTGCAGTATTAGTGAGTGGTTCAAAAGGCCCATTGAGAGAGTTTCCTATTGCTGCTGTAAGAAATTACCACAAAGTTGGTCGGTTAAAACAACCCACACTTATCGTAGAGAGGTCAGATGTCTGAAATGGCAGTGCTGCGTTCCTTCTGGAAGCTCTAGGGTAGGATGGGTTTGCTCGCCTTTTCCCGCTTCTAGAGGCTGCCTGCATTCCTTGGCTGGCAGCCCCACGTCACTCCAATCTCTGCTTCCATCATGACACCTCTGGTGACACCCCCACCTCCCTCTTTCCTTTACAGGAAAGGATTCTTTCCTTGTGATTACATTGGGCCCACCCAGATAATCCATGATAACCTCCCCATCTCAAAATCCTTAACTTAATCCCATCTGTGAAGTCTCTCATGTAACACAGTCACAGGTTCTGGGGATGATTAGGATGTGGACATATTTGGGGAGGGGGAGTCATTATGCCACCACACCCATGAAATGTGGTAATCTGCTACACCCTCGTCGAGGTACAAATGTGAACACAGGCCACACCAAAAGCTGGCCCACCACAGTGAGTCACTGCTCCAGGGCAGCCGACCCCCCATCAGAACCTCCCGCTCAGTATGGCTTTGTTCTTCTCAACGCCTGAGGCCCCTGAAGTGAGGTTTAAAACTGGTTTCATAGTGGAAAACCAACTCAGAAACAACAAAAGTCTCCTGCTGGTGTTGGGGATGGAGGTAACATAAAAGAAAAGTTTAGGAAGGTGCTAGTGTTTGAGAGAAAGCAAGAGTTTTAAAGACTTTTTTTTTTTTTTTTGTGAGGAAGATCAGCCTTGAGCTAACATCCATGCTAATCCTCCTCTTTTTGCTGAGGAAGACCGGCTCTGAGCTAACATCTATTGCCAATCCTCCTCTTTTTTTCCCCAAAGCCCCAGTAGATAGTTGTACTTCATAGTTGCACAGCCTTCTAGTTGCTGTATGTGGGACGCGGCCTCAGCATGGCCGGAGAAGCGGCACATCGGTGCGCGCCCGGGATCCGCACCCGGGCCGCCAGCAGCGGAGCCTGCGCACTTAACCGCTAAGCCACGGGCCGGCCCCTAAAGACATTTTCAATTACACTTTCCAGCATTGTATGGAGGAACTTACATGCTACAGTAGTAATCATACATTTGATTACTTTTTTTTTTAAAAGTCAAGGCACACATGTCATGCCTGTGTAAAATCATCCTGTAAGCATTTCAACTGTAGAGTCGAGTCGCCAGGGGACTTGAATCACACAATCCTGGAGTCTCAGAACCTTATTAGTTGTGTAAAAATACATAAGTGTTGCTAAGACTCGGTTTTCTCACCTGTAAGATTTAGAAATAATACTATCCTCATGGGGTTATTGGGACAGCTAAATAAACAACGCAGATACAGCCCTTAGCACAGGCCTGAGGGAGTAAGAGATGATTATTAGCCTTTATTATTCTCAACACTATCATGAGGGAGTGGCTCAATAATTTTTAATACCTTTATTGAGATGTAATTTATACACCATACAATCTTCCTATTTAATGTGTACAATTCAAAGGTTTTTAGTATATTCACAGATATGTGTAACCATCACCACAGTCAAATTGAGGACTTTTTCATTACCTCAAGAAGGAAGCCCTTATCCTTTAGCCATCACCCCCACCACCCTCCCCCTCACCCCCTAGGCCCAAGCAACCACTAATCTACTCTCTGTCTCTATAGAGTTCCCTAGTCTGGACTTTGATGAATGGTATCATATAGTATGTGGTTTTTTGTGACTGGCTTCCTTTTCTTAGAATAAAGTTTTCAAGATTCATCCATATTGTACCAGGTATCAGTAATTACTCCTTTTTATGGCCGAATAATACTCCATTGTATGAACAGACCACATTTTGTTTATCCATTTGTCTGCTGATGGACAGTCTCTCTAGTCAGCATAAGCCAGTAGACAGTTGACTAGACAAACACGAGTCAGACAATCCAAATTCTGTTTCACTTGTATAGACACGTACTCTTCAATTTACCCTACAAAAGATATAATAAAGAGCTCCTAGTCATCCAGGCCCCCATCTAGCCTGGGTGAGTGACGGGGTCCAGTTGAGACAGTTACAAGGCAGGTTGTGAGAAATGCTCTAACATGAACAAAACGCTGTAGGAATACAAGGGGAGGTAGAGAAAAGACTGATCCCAACAACGGAACCAGGAAGGTTGGCAGAGACAGAATTTGAGCTGGGCATGAGGGTGTTGGAAAAAGCGCATTCTCAAAAGAAGGACGCCTTGGAACCAAGGCATGGAGGGTGGGGAAAGCATTTGCGGAGCACAGAGTGAGAGATACAACAGAAAGGCAGGGGACACGCGGATGCCAGGCAAATTGTGTACTTTATTCTTGTGCATTGGGATGAAACTTTTTGAGCAGTCACTACAATACTTGTGTTTTTTAAGAAAGGCAACACCAGCAGCAGTGTGTCCCTTGATGAAATCACTGAATTTTCTCTCAAGTTTTTATACCTGCAAGTCTTTCAACTTCACAAAAACTTGTATAAGCTTTTGAAGACGTTACTATGTAAATCCAATTTTTTACTATATTGTTACCTCCATTCAATAAAAAATGTACTGATTTTTATCATTGAAAACCCGTCCCTAAAGATTCAAAACTAAAATCAAGACTATTTCTACAAGTTTCGAACCCTTTTGACGGAACACAGATTCATAAGACTATTTACTATGGTACAAATAAATGACATAAGACCTCTGTCAGATCTGCTCTGACAGTGGCCACTGGCTTTTTTTCTTGAGTGCTCGGAGGGACTCATGCCTTGAAAATAAAAAAAAGACCCAAAGAGGTGAACTTCTGTTGTGTCGTTAGTGAGTTTTGATAATGGTTGAAAATCTCAATTTTCAGCGACAGATTTGGGTCAGCTAAAGCTAGAAGCAATTACAGATGTACAAAAAGGTACAAAGGGTTCTCATCCAAGTTCAAGCCAAAGGAAAAAGATCAGGAGGAAAGAATAGGCCTCTTTGGAATTGCGACCTGCCACACGTGCTTAAAGTGGAGTTTATATTTGAAGGTCACAATGTTAAAGGCTGTTCATTGTTCATTTGCATATGCATGCCAGTTCAGTAACTACAGCGTCTATTTTATGTCCCTTTAACATATTTTTTTTGTCCCTTAAGAAGCATTTCCTGTACTGGTCTAATGTCATTGGTGTCTTTTCGATATACAGCACCTGTTAATATCAGGAAAAACTTTTTTTGCGTGTTTGGACAGGAAATAAAAATAAACTGAGCAAAGAACATCATTAGACATTTCCCTTACTTCACAACAATCTAATGAGCCAAATGGATTGCAGAATTCACCATTTTGAAGGAGGAAACACTCAAATTCACCATAGAGTGAAGTGAGACCTGACTCCAAGATCTAAAATGTCCTTAGAGCATCACTCCACGTTTAGAGGGTAAGAGGGCCAAGCATTAGGAAAGGTTAACGGATCACCAACCATCCAGTGACAAAGCCAGTTCTCGCCTTAAGGCCAGGGTCAAATGTTATTAACCATGCACTGATTTCATAGGTATGACACAACAGGGCAAGTTCCTATTCTATGGCAGTTGGGGTGCAGGAAGGCTGGAAACCTATAAACACAAGCTTGTAAAATATTAGGTCGTGATCAGTGCTCTAAAGGATTTAGAGGACGGGGTACTACTTAGCTAGGGTTGCCAGGAAAGAGCTTTCCGAGGGAGCACAACGCAGGGCTTCCGAGTGGAGCCCTTAGGCAAGGCTGTGCAATTTTGCTTCTTACCGGCTAGCTGTATAATCTTGGGCAAGTTACTGGACCACTTGTGCTAAACGGGGATTTCTCTAACAAACATTTAGAGCTTGCTAAGGGCCGGGCACTGTTCTCCCTGAATCCGTACAGCAGCTGTGTAAGGTGGACACCATTGTTATCATTATCATTTTTGCAGACAAGGAACCTGCGGCAGAAAGAGATTATGTCACCTCCCCAAAGACCCAGCTAGTTAAGTGGCAGCAGGGATTCCAACCCAGACAGTGACTGCAGTACCCCTGTGTCTTAAGATCGCGCTAAGGATTGAGTTCTTCACCCCAAAGCGCTCAGAACAGTCCCGGCAGCAGGATCCCTAAGCGCCAGCGAAGCGCCGCGGAGGGGGCACCGGGCAGCGCCGAAGGGCGCAGAGCGCGGCGGCAGGAGCACGGCGCCCCGAACACCAGACTCCGGGCCAGGGCAGCGGCCAGCGGCTCGCACGCCCGCCCGCACCCGACACGGACGACCGGACACGCGACCCCCTTGCCGCGCCCGCCCCCAAGCCCACGTTCCGCGCTATGCCCGCCGGCCTCACCTCCGCCTCCCTCCATCGCGAGAGTTCCGGCAGTTGGGGGAACCCGGAAGTGGATTCTACCATCTTTTCGGAGCCGGGGAGAGAAGGAGCGAGTAAATAATGCTCTCAGTAAATGAGTTCCTCCTTGGGACCCGCTATCCAGAAACTCTCAATTGTATAGCTTTAAGAAATGACTAAATTCGAGCTACTCTCGGCTTGTGGATTCTAAAGTTCCCGTCCGTGTCTTCGCACTCCCCCCCCACAGCTTCCTGGATGATACAAGTTTCCGAAGGCCGCTGATTCCAGAAGGTACTGTCTGGCGTTAAACTAGTCTCAAGTGAAAAATAAGTCTCACGCGACCGGTACTGCGCGTGCGCGAACTGTGCCGCGCTCCCGCGAGAGGAGGGTGCGTTCTCCGTTCGGAGTGGTCCTAGCCGGTTGTGGAAAGGTAGCCGCTGCTGCTACGCCATGGCGTCCGTGGGGACCCTCGCCTTCGATGAATATGGGCGCCCCTTCCTCATCATCAAGGATCAGGACCGCAAGTCTCGTCTTATGGGACTTGAGGCCCTCAAGGTAACGGGACCGGGACACACTGGCGCTGGGAGAGGGGAGACGGCCGAACCCGGGCTCTGCGCCTGCGCGGGCCTGGGAGCTGGTCTGCCATGTGCTCCCTGGAAGGCCGGGGGAGCCCCGCTCCTTGAGCTCGGGGAGGCCGGCGGATAAGCCTTTAGCCCCGAGTTGGCGGTAGGGTGGAGCCGCAGGCACCGTTCAGAGCCGGTGGGGCGGCTTCAGTTCCTCGGTTCCCCGGCCCAGCAGTGTTGTCGTCAGCAAGGTGCAGAGAAGGTAGTCTCAGGTCTCCTGGCCGGTGCAGGCTCTGCCTCCTGACCTTCCCTGAGTGTCCCTGCAACAGCCCTAAGAGAAACGGAGCCTCATCATCTTTGTCACCTCCCAAAGGCGTAGTCATTTACCAAGTACGTCTGGTTTGAGCACCTTTATGTGTGGCGTATTCCTGGATGCCGTATCGTAAAAATAAAAAATAGACATCCTTAAGGAAGAAAGGACTAGCGCAAGAAGGAAAAATGGACACCAGTAAGCGTCATACCGGGCAGCGTGTGATCAGAATCGCGGTTATGGGAGAGGATGCAGATAAAGTTGGAGGGTGTCCTCCAGACTGGGTAGAGGCCGGCTTCTGATCAAGGGTGGGGTGATGTGTTGAATGGGAGAGAGCCAGTGTTCTGGGGGAGGAAACAGTAAAAGCGAAGACCCGGGCAGGAAAACGCGGCGGCGCGTTGTAGGGCGAAAGAGCGGTCTGGTTTAGGTGGAGCGTAGTCTACTTTAAGTTACAGTAGTTCCCCAGAGTGGAAGCTCTTGAATGCCCCACAGTCAAGATGTTGTTCCGTGGGAAAGAGGGGAGCCGTTGAGAGAGTTTTGAACATAATCGCAATTTGAGTGAAGCTGTACCTTAGGAAGTAGCATGTGGGGTGGGCTGGAGGAAAAAAGGAAGACCAGAGGCGTTAAATGCAGCATAGCAGGAGTCCAGGTGAGGAAGGGTCATCTGAACAGACGCTGACGGGAAACACGGAGGAAGGGACGCTTTAAGAGGGCACTGACTTCTTTAGGGTTTGTTATAAAGTGGAAGAATCCGTGATGTTGGTGTGGATAGGCCTTGTCACTGGGTCTGAGGTGTCTCTGTTCGTTTAGGGTCTTAGTGCTTTACTTAAATTAAGAAACAGTACAGTTCTCCCGCAGGCTGGTTGTTTGAGAACAAGTTACACAACCTCTCTGAACCTCCTTTCTCAGTGAGAGTATGCACCTCTGTCAAGCTGAGGATGAGAATTAAATGGGGCTAGTTTAAGGAGTGACCACACAGTGCTTGAATGATGGTGGGCGCTCAGGCCACTGGTATTACATGTTCAGGTCTATTTTTCACTTAAAGCGAACAGCAGAGAAAGTAACATCCAATATAATAGTACTCTGGAAGCTGCAGGTTATTTTGCGTTAGCCACTGTGTTAACCACTTTCCGTGCATTATTTCATGGTATACCCACACTGTGAGTTAGGTATTGTTGCGCTGTATTGGAAATGGCCTCAGAGCAGTTAAGCAATTGCTTCAAGTCGCAGGGCCATGATTGAAGGCCCCTCTCTGTCCAACTCCAAAGCCAGTGGTCTAGAGCAGGGTCTCAGCCTTGGCACTACTAACATTTGGGGCCAGATCATTCTTTGTTGTGGGGCTCTGTCCTGTGTAGGATGTTTAGCAGCATCCCTGGCCTCTGCCGACTCTGTGCCAGTAGTACCTCCCTTGCCAGTCATGACAACCAAAAATGTCTCCTGGGGGCCAAAATTGCCCCTGGTTAAGAACCACCTCCCTCTGATTATTACCCCTTAAAAATTCCATTATACGGACATATCAATCCAAGTATATTTTGAGGATTACCAATATTTTCACAGAACCAGTGAACTCTGTCTTTTGTCACCTGCCAGGTGAGTAACCAGGGACGGCTTCACAGAACATGTGCATTTGAACTGCTTTGAAAGTTGGTCAGGATTTTGGTGGGGACAGGGCCTTCTGTGCATTGCTACCTCAGGGATCAGAGGACATGTTCGGGAAACAAGAATAGACCATCCTCGCTGGAAGGGAGCTAGGTCTCAGATTGCAGAGGGCATTGAAGACAGAGCTGAAGCTTTTGGACTTGAGTGTTGAGGCGCTGGGGAGTTGCTTAAGGTTTGGGACTAGTAAGCAACACCCTTGAGAAAAATGGGTGGCTTAGCTGGATGTAGGATGAATTTGAAGGATGGGAGGTGAGATAAGAGACCCTTGAATTCTGTAGGATGCTGTGAATCTGGGTTAGGTTGGTGATGGCAAGAATAGAAAGAAAGGAGACGACATTTGGAGGAAAAACGGGTATAATTATGTGTGGGAACAGAAAAGGATGCTTTCAAGCCTCCAATACTTTCCGTGTTGATAACCTTGGCAGCTGATAGGCAAGGGTGACTCTAAGGTATATGGGTTCTGCGTTGGCTCGATCGTTTGAGAGAAGAGTGCGTCTCTGCAGTAAACCGTAGTGTGACAGTTCCAGGTGCTGCGTGTGCACAGCTGGACTCCTCATGTGATGTTAGCCTTGCAAAGTCCTGCAAGGCCTGTCAGGTCAGACTGCCCCTGCTCTTGGCTGTAAGGTGGGCGGTAGGAGAACCTGCCTCATAGATGTATTGATTCTAGAGAACAGGAACTGTGTCATGAGTGATTTTTATAATCATCAGCTGTATGTATTTAACTATTAAAATTATATGTACTTGAATATTTGTTTTTTCTGTTTGCTTGATTTAGTCTCATATAATGGCAGCAAAGGCTGTGGCCAATACAATGAGAACATCACTTGGACCAAATGGTAAGAGTCTCTCATTCTGTGTTGTTTTAACAAAAGTTTTAAATCATAAAATAGTCAGTATGTAACAGTGCAGGGGACATGCTAATCCCCTAATAAACCAAACTTTTTCCGTGTATTCCAGACTTTAAACATGGTTATAATCATAATGTGTGTCCAGTTTTAGGTCAGGTGTTTTTTCCACTTAACATCATTTCATAAGCATTTTCCAAACCATAACTGTCGTCTTTTGTGATTAATATTACATTTAGTGATGCTTCATAATTTTTTTTGTCATTTCTCTGGTTTTAGGCATTTTAGATTATTTCCCGTGTTTTGCTTTATATTAGCCAATCTAAAAATGTCTTCATGCAGATATTCTTTTATGTATGTTGAATTTTTATGATAAATTCCTAGATAGGAACTGCATCAATAAATCTAACTTTATAATTTTATAGTTTTTGGTAGAGGTTGCCTTTTTTTTTTTTTTTTTTTTTTGCTTAAAGTCATTCTAAACATTACTGTCTTTTTAGGGCTTGATAAAATGATGGTAGATAAGGATGGCGATGTGACTGTAACGAATGATGGTGCCACCATTTTAAGCATGATGGATGTCGATCATCAGATTGCCAAGCTGATGGTTGAACTGTCCAAATCACAGGATGACGAAATTGGAGATGGAACCACAGGAGTGGTTGGTAAGAAAAGGCAAAATATCCTTTCTCATTTAGGAGATGTTATTTAGAATCACAGGGCTAACGTGTCTGCCGAGAATGTTTTCTCTGAATCAGATGATGAGGAGACAGTCGGAGAAATCCAGGTTGAAGGACACGCTAAAAAACAAGCGGCCCAGACTCCTCAAAACTATCAGTGTCATGAAAGAGCAGGAGGGCAGTGGGGTAGAGTTAGGCAACTATTCTAGATTAAAGGAGCTAAAGAGAGATGACAAGCAGCTGTAATGTGTAAAACTTGATTGGGTGTTTTAAGCTGTAAGGGATGGTTGGGACAGTGGGGGAATTTGATTTGTGGATCATGTATTACAAAATAGTATACTGTCAATGTTAAGGTTCCTTAACGTGTGACGGTCATAGTGCAGTGATGTAGGAGAATGCCTTTGTACTTGGGAGCTGCACGCTAAAATATTTAGGGGTGACATGATTTCTGCAACTGATTCTCAGTTGAATGGAAAAGGTGCATGCATACGTGGAGAAAACAGATGTGGCAAAATGTTCTTAAGTAAACAAGTGTTCATTTTACTGTTCTTGCATTTTTTCTGAAGGTTTAAAATGTTTAAAAAGTTGAGGAAGATTGAAGAGATGTTGCCTTTAGTGTTACTTTCTGCAGATGAAATTTGAATTCATGTATTCAACAAATATTTATTGGGTGCCAGGTACTGTTCTAGATGTGCTTGGACTGCAGCAGTATGAAAACAAATAGGACTCATCATCTTTGTGGCACTAAAATGAATGTGGAGGGGGAGGTTGTTGGAGGGGTATAAATAATAATTTTTTTTTAATATAATTTTATTTATTTATTTTTCCCCCAAAGCCCCAGCAGATAGTTGGATGTCATAGCTGCACATCCTTCTAGTTGCTGTATGGGGCATGTGGCCTCAGCATGGCCGGAGAAGTGGTGCCTTGGTGTGCGCCTGGGATCCGGGCCGCCAGCAGCGGAGTGTGCACACTTAA